ATGGTGTAAATGAATTTGCACGAATGAATTTTTTTCGAACTAATTAAAACCCTCCCCACTTTTACCCCGGAACGTAATATTTGTTTACACATTCGGTTACGTCTGTTGTCAGCAATTGAAACGAAACATCCAGTGCCACACTCGAAAATGCGACTCATCGATCCGCTTCCCTTGTCTCCATTAACTAATCGACACACAACGTTCCCCGAGCGAATACGAATTTTTAATATCGCGCACTCAAAGCTTACTAAAACTCCGTAGCGGTGCAAATATTATTCCACCTCGCGGCAATCATAACTACCGGCTTGTTTTTCCAGAACTGAGAAAAATAACGGCGAATTAATAAAAAGGTGATAAAAAAGAATGCATCAATCGACGAGTCTCCCCGCGTCAGCCGAACCTCTACTGCCCCCTACACCCCCTCCACCCCCCCCACCCCCTCGGACGCATGATTGGATAAAGTGTCCTATAATTCCTGGTGACAGCGCGATTGTCAATATTAACAGAGCTGCAATTGACTGTTAGCGGAGGCTCGCGCCGCTGGCGGCGAAGATAAATTTACCGCGTGTACGAGGAAATTGAAAACAGTTTACACTGTCGAATTGCTCAACTGGCAAAAAAAGAAAGGATGGGCGGGCGGGGTTGGGGTCGGGGGGATCGGCAAAAAATCCCTCCAAACGGATACCATCGGTCGTAATTGTCAGCACATAGAGTTCGAGCCTTTATCCGACTGATAACACATATCTGACAGGATAGAATCCTGACAGCGCAGCTGCCGAAAGGTAAACAAAATTTGCGAAACCCGAATATTGGGAAGCGATCGATCCCCCTCCTCCTCCTCCTCCTCCTCCTCCTCCTCCTCCTCCTCCCCTCATGGGCGAGCAGGAGGCGCTCTCGAAAGCGGTTTCGAAAATGTTTTCGGAGAGCGTAACCGGGTTCGAACACGTCTACCACCATTAATTTCAATTTGATTAAAATTTTTGTTTGCACGTTCCACCCCTGGAATTTTCCATGTACTCCGGTGTTCGATGGGTTGCACGGTGTGGGGTTTGGGGGTGGAAAAAAAGTTGAATCTCATCGTGCCTCGTAAATACCTATTTTTATTCGTCCATCCATCGCGGGGCTTCATTTGGTACGAGTGAACTCCGCTACTCCATTTATTTAGTTCCGGATACTTCGAGTCCTGCGCTTGGAACATTACTTCCAATTATTTGCAATTCCTTTTTTTATGTTGAGTACCTTTTACCAACAATCGAATCGTTTCGTGATTGTGCACGGGATTGTATTTCAGTGATAATTTTGGGACACACATTAATCTGAATAATTTCGGTAGAAAAAGAGATTTAATGTTTTAACAAAATTGTGTGAGAACTGTTTTAATAGTGAAAAGAAGGTGTTTATAGAACTTTGGTATCATTTTAAGGGCGTGGTATTTTATTATTGTATGGTAATCGTTTCATTATTTTGCGGTACAGACATAATGTTAAAATTTACATACGTAATATATTAAATATCATGTACAGATATAATACTTTTAAACTCAGTATCTATATATATATACATACATCTTGCTAGCAAGTTGTAGGAATATTTTAGGTTAGAAATAATTCAGAATACTTATTGCTTCCTTTCACATTTGCTGTTGATTAATATTTCTTCAGAAAATATTGAAACAGGAACCAGTTGAGACATTTCATTTTTCAAATTATATTTAATATGAAATTGTTGTACATTACATATACCAATTCTAAACGAAACCTCTACATACATATATTTATTCATATCTTGCGAACCCTTATGAACATTTTCCTATATAAATAATCCAGAAACCTTCTTGCTTCCCCTTTAATTTTCTCTTAAAACGCTACTAAAACATAGACCAGTTGAAAATTTAATATCTTAAGAAACTGGTTCCCTACTAAACAGTTCCGTTAAAATCCACCGCTCATGGAAGTGTATCTCAGGTCCACGGGGGGGGGAGGGGGGGGGGGGGGTGAAAAATTCCCCAGACGCAGGGGTTGAAGCGCAATTTGCGGTGGCGTCAACATCACGCAAAAACGCTCGCAGTCGTACGAGGAACGTAATCGCAGTCGAATCCAGAAACGCGGATCGCGGAAATGCACCGATGGCGGAGCGCCGAGAGCGTGGATGGGATTTTAGAAGGGTTGCATGGCTAAGGTAAACGATATTTGCGAAGCTTGGGGGATCGATAGCAATTTAACCGCCCTTCGCCATTCTCTACGAGCACCTCCCTTCGGTACATCTATGTACTTTCCTCCGACCTGGGTCCACCACCACCACCACCACCACCGTCATCGCCATCCTGGCTACTGGTGCTTCTGCCCGTTTCTCCGCTCCTTCCTCTCGATGGCTAACCCTCCCCCGAACCCACCCTCTTGCTACCACAGCGTGGCCCAGTCGGAACTCATCCATATACATCAGGAAAATTAATATCTGGGCTTCATTCGCGCGCTGAATAAACTCGGTTGCCTCGCTCGCCTCCTTCCACCCTGTACCGCCATCTTTTTCTTCCCTTGCCCCCGATTCTGGACGACGGTGATCAACCCCTTGTCTTTGTACGCTTTTGTTTCTCTCCGTCGTCTTTTTTCCCCGATGCTATCTCGATGCAGGCACTACGATGGTGGGAAGAAATGGTCGCGTTTGGTAATAACTTCCGGGGTGAACATTAATTCGAAAACGGAGGAGGGGGTAGTATTTCTTCGTCGCCTCGACTGCTGGGCTGATCGTGGTCGTGGAGCTTCTCGGGGTCGGACTATGTACTTATTTATCGTCAGGGCCTTTTTTTCATAACGTAGATCACCAGGGGTGTATTAAATTAAGTTCAACCATGTCACATCTTCAATTTGTCAAAATACTCGTAAATATATTATAAATTCTCTAATCTTGTATTAGGTGAATCGGAAAATGATGTCGTTTTTGCAATTTTGAATACTTGTTTATCGTTCATCAGCTCATTGATTTTTATCGATCTGGCATTGGCGTTTCCACACTAGATGGCAAAAGGTTATTGATAACGGGAGCGATTATACAATTAATAATTAAAAATAGAAATTTATAAAAAATTTGTTCGAATTTAATGTCAAAGAAACGACATTACTTTCCAGTCCACCTAATATTCTCAATTATTCAATTCCTTTTTTAATTTTCTATAACTTCGACAAATGAAACTATTTACAAACGCCTCCAGTAATTTCATTTGACTGTGTCTAATTATGCGCAGAAGCTGCCAAGTCTGTTGAAGTGGACCCTAACTGTTTGAAAAAAATGAGCACAAGAGCAGTTGAGCACAAGTTCTCTGCGTGTGATTCATCGATCTCGTATCCGTGGAGAACGTCCAGTGTACCTGGACCGCTTATATTTACATATTTAACTAACTCAACGGGCCGAGCAGTAACGCGAACGCGGGCCGAATAATCTAGAATATGTTAATTCAGCACGAGGTGCATACCATCGCTTTGAATTAGCGCGAACACTTCTACGCGATTACTGTGCACGGTCAATGTCGACGCATAGGATTATGCTACCCAGTGTCTTTGTCCTCCATCCATATTTCCTTTTCTATTCTTGATTTTGTGTCCCTTGCCACTGCCGGTGGCAGCTGTTTCTCTTGAACAATTTCAAATAGTTATGGTGGTTGGTCATAGTATTTATCGACCGAGTGTTCTGCATTACCTACAAAGCAAACTACCTTATCTACAGAATGTTCTACGTTGCCAACAGAGCAACAAGTGTTATTTATACAATGTTCTATTTTATCGAATCATAATTTCAAGGGGAATACACATATGATTACTATTTTAGGATATTTTAGATTTATACTATTTAGACTGTTTACTATTTTAGATTATTATTATTTACGATACTATCCTGCTACTATTGCACACAATTCTTATAATATCGTCAGGCATATAATTTTACTGCAAATATTTTCTAAATCAGTAACTGGATGCTTCCGAAACTCTATACGATTACCTTCAGTATATCTAGTAGAACCAGTGACAACCTATGACAATTATTATTAACTGAACAGCACACCTAGCTGACCACCCACCTAGACCACCCACCATTCTTCATTATCGATCTGGCAACTGGATCGTCGTCAAGATCCGAATCGCGCCATCCATCATTTTTTCTCGTTATCCTGCCACGATGACAGATCTGTCACACAATCATGGTCGACGACTGCTCGTCGACGGGCCAGTATAATCGAGTGAACGCTTGCGACGAGGGTCTGTCAAGCTGAAACGGAGTTAAGGTCGCTTAACGCTAAGGGCTTTGTAACCTAAAATCCACAGCCAAAGTTTGGCGCCACTTGGCAACAGTTGTCCTCGGATCACGAAGGCCATCTAAGGTCTCGAGAGATCCTCCAACGGCTGCTAGTTCTTCTGAGTGCGCTTCAGTGTTGTTGTCAGTGTGCCGTGGAATATGCGAAAGCGACACTCCTCTCATACCTGAGGAGTTCTCGTTTAACTCTTTAGCCCGCTGCCCAACTTCGTTCCCCTGCCGCTAATGGACGTGATCGATGGGCTTCCTGAACTACTTTCGGACCACGGTCTGGGTTTGGTCTATTTCCTCTATTTGCGCCATCAGGATAGATTTTTCCTGCTCTAGATTTTCGACCAGAGAACGTCCAGAATTTTGATTCCAAACTTTCAGTTGAACTTTTCGGAGGGTTATAGTTTGTGGAAGGAAAGCATTCGTTTTGGTCTTTTCATGGTTTTCTAAAGTCTCAGGTTTTAAAAGTATAGCGCCGAGAGAGTTATATGGTGACATTGAAATAATTTTTGTGGAACTTTGACTTTGATTTTGAAACTGAAATCTCTGTGTGCTTTAAGACTACATGACAAACATTAGGGGCTTTGGTTAATTTGCACATAGGGATAATAATATTTGTTTATACTTTTTTTTGAAATTTTAAGACTATGTTTAGTTTCGAATTTTATAATACTAATCGGATAATTTGTTTCCGCGTGTTTCAGGCAATGGAAATTTAGAGCTGTTCGATAGTGAGAGCGGACCGGACCTCACACTATCACCTCAGACCTTCACGTCAACGGCAGAGGCCTTCATCAATGACAATAGCGATAGTCTCGGTGTTCCAGGAGACAACGATACGGGTGAGTCCAACCTTCAATCGTAAGATACTTCCTAAAGCGACTTTAGGACTTTATGTTTTATTAAAACCCAAATGGTTTGGAAAGTATTTGATTTATATAATGTATTTATAGATATTTATGTTAATGTGTCAACCATAACTACGCTGACAAGTGTATCCTGTTATTAAAAAGTAAATCCTAAAGTCTTTTAATGAAAAACCATTTGCTTGATGCTTCTTTAGTACCTTGTCTGACCATAGCTTGACCTATTCTACTTAATCTCAAACGTAACAGCTCCAAAATAATTCGATTCATAAAAATCTCTAACGACAATTCCAAAATATTGTTTATATTTAAAAATGACGATAAAAAACAGTGAGTTTACATATAATATACAGTTCCATAATCAGTTGTAAAAATTGAAGCTGGAAATTAATTAAATCGTACATCTGAAATATGCATTCCATCGAAAAGAGTATTTTAAATATAAATTGTGTTTTGAAACTAAAATTGAAAATACATGTGTCGTTAAAAAAAGTAATGTCGAAAGTTATTCCTTGTATGTACAAATCAATTATCACTGAAGCGACGTTTATGTCAACCTAGTATTCGATTTAAGTAGAATTTACCTCGTATACATCAGACACGTAACAGATTTCAATAATACGAATTTCATAATGGTTACCAAAGTAGTAGCGCGAGTTACTGTACTTCAACATTCACTGAAATTTAATAAATAAAAACCATAAAGGGTTCCAAGAGACCAACAATATTTTAGAATCCTCAAAAGAATACAACTTTAATACAACTTTTTAATACGCCCCGTGTTCCAGAAACGGGAACCGCGATTTTTAATACGTTAATACACCGAATAATACAACGAAATCTTATTTGTCCATTACTATAACGAAGTGGAAAGCGATTGGATCCTCCCCTTTTGTGCTCGCGCATCCATTTGCCCTATTAAATTCATCTCAGGCGAATCGCTCGCTCGCTCGCGAATCGCTGAAAATCTCGCGCGTTTTAATCCCGAAACCGTTTCTGACCGACTTTCAACTTAATTGGCCGAAAGGGCATAGGACGCCGATCGTTTAGCGTCGTTAGGCGAAGGAGCCCGTGAGCAATGCATCAATGACGCAGAGTTACAACTAGTTCGAACATGTCGGCTCAGGCCATTTCCGTGCTCATGCCACCGGTACATAATACTCATTGTTTCCTGCGAGTACAAGGGAACCGTTCCAGTCGTACAACGACTATAAAACGTCCGCCATTGTTTCCCGCGGACAGGCTGCATGATAATCAAGTCGCCTTTCTCGAAGGGCTTGATGCTTTAATCGAGATACGAACGTCTTAACTGTACCTCGTATTTCTGTTAGAAAACGTGCTGTACATTCGTTAATTGCAGGTAGGAAATATAAAGGTGTGCAGGGGAAAGTGTGCATTAAATAATAATGCAATTTGAATCAATTTTCAAATATTTTCAAAGGCGTGTATTCATGTAGTCAAATATTTTAATACTTATACGCAACCGTTTAAGAAAAAAAGTACAGTAGCTGTGAAAATAAATAAAATTCACTGTAATAATTCCTGTCGTGAAATAATCTTTACGATACATAATATTCATTGTGATGACCGAAGAAACGACTGAAGAATTCTTGAAATAGAAAACTTTTTAAAATAAATAATATTTATTGGAATAATTCATGGCATAAGGTAACTTTGAAATGGGTATGATTCACTGTAATGGCCTATATATTAATTCAATAAAATAATGTAATTAACCAATTCGTAACGTTCTGAACATTTGTATTCATATGAAGAAAAACTGAGAAATAATTAAACATATTCCTCCATGAATAATAAAACAATAAAATTCGAACTAATCGTACGTGTAAAACGAGAATTACTTATACTGCTCATCGAGTCTTGCTTTTTATATTTGCTATCACTATTTTCCATCCACGTAATGACCGTTATCGTAACAAGTTGCGACATGGAAAAAAGTTGAAAAAAAAAAAGGAACGCAGCGAACCCTTCATCGCGATGCGTAATTGCAACGGAATGCAGCTGCATCGCGCAACCTTTCATCCCCCGACGCGTGAATCACGCGTAGCCGAGCAAACGAGCGTCCTGGCCAAAAAAAAATATCGGATTTCAAGGGTCGAGCCAACGGCCGCGTGCCGTGCTCGATTGCCAAAAGCGTGTTGTTCGCTTGGCCGTGTCAGACCTGGTACTTTGATATGTTTTCCCTCGATATACGGACATCCTAATTGCCGTCGCGTGTTTAACAGGGGTTGCTTCCTCGAGAAAATGAGGGTTTTACGGAAGGAAAATACAAGGGGTAACTGGGCTAATGATCCACGGATGACTGGCTCGATCCGCCCACTATTCATCGAGCATCTTCATCCGATACTAATCGACGACTCGAATTTTTGTAAAAAATGATGCTCTTCTCCATCCTTTATTTTTCATAGCGTAGGAGATTTATTTTGTTTTATTTAGTCCACTTGAATTTGTTTAATAAATGGTACTCTTCTCCATGCTTTATATTTAATAACGTAGATTTATTTTATTTTATTTATTCGACGGCTCGAATTTTTGTAAGAGATGGTATTCTTCTCCATCCCTTATTTTTAATACGGTAGATTTGTTCCATTTTATTTATTGTAATTGTTGTAGGAAAGGAGTGGAGGCAAATGTGTATAAGATTCTGTAGTTATAATGTGTTCAGATTGGTCTAAAGTTATGTTTAAAATTATTTTTCTGTGCATATGTAAAAAATTGGATTTTCTTCATTGATTTTACTACTACATGTAATTAGAATATACATCTATTTTTTCTTGTCCTTTCCGCTTAAATTGCACCACGAGAAGAAAGATACCCTATGCGAATGTTTCAATCAGTATCAGTACAAGTACGAACCCTTTAAAATCCAACTCAACGTAAATTATTTTCCATCTAGAGAAACAACTTTCTACCACTCCATCCTAATCCGACACAAAGGTCTTTCATCCATACATCCTGTAATTAATTTCTAATCACTCCCATCGCTGAACACGAACGACCTCTCCAATAAATTTTCACGATGAAATTGAAAATTCTTTGACCGATTACTAGCAGATGATGATGACCCCCTCTCTCCCTTCCGTCAACGAAACCGAGTTAGCAGCTTCGATCCACGCGCCAGGAAAATTCAAACGCTCGCGGTAAGGCGTAACTTTTGCGTGGGCGTAAGTTCATTACAACAATTTCGTGAAACTCGTGATGACGGCGGGGGGGAAAGTTCGAAGCCGCAGCCGTAGGGCGGTCGCGCGCTGCGCGTCTATGAATAAATTTCGCCATGACGATATGTCATTTGCATATTACCTGGTGCGCGACGGTCGAACCTTCGCCGCGTCGAGTCTCGTGTCAGGGTTGACCGAGTCGGGACGTTTGACTCGGGGAGAGTTATGAGGAAGGGTGTCGGTGTTTCTCTCTATCGATCTCTGCACGTTTACACCTGAAAACTCTTCTCTTACACCTTGTAGGGATTGGCACAATTTTACTAAAATAACGGACGACCAATAGAAATTACCTTAATAGGGTTTAAAAATGTCTGGAGGAACGTAGAAGTATTTTAATAAATATTATTATTATTAGAAAGATATTTTCCTGAAAGTTTCCTTAAGTTTAGAAAGTACTAACAAGTAGTCATTACCATTTTTATTATATTTATTTTATACTCACTGTCAAAGATCCTGTATGCAGTTCCAAGAATTCCAATGCAAAACATATTCCATTAAGAAAGTTTCTCTTAAAGAAAATAACAATAATAATCTAATATTATTCATCGATAGTCGAAGTATTCCACATGCCACTACATATTTCCTTTTTTCGTCTTTCGCACTCGAGTATAACCCAGAAAAGCCACGTATATAAACTGCGAAACATGCAAACGTACCACGACGTGTGTCCCGATGCGAAAAACAGTGCATTTTGATTTTCACAGTCACGCACCGAGATTCCCAGCGACGAGCGCAAGATTATTCTGTCGCATATCGTGTAATACAATTTTTACAGTTACGGAAGAACGTTTCGCTGGCTGGGATAATAAAACCCTGCGACGAAATGTTTAATTTATTTTTAGTTTTCATGATGAGATTTGCACCATAGTTTAGGGAAAAAATTAAAAATAAAAAGCATATAACAAAAGCAGATACTTTATTAATGTATATTTTGTCCATGGATAAATATACGATTAGAAATGATTGATTAATGTATATAAATGTTAATATTCACGTGTTTTATTAATGACTGTCAGGAAGAAGTCAATTTTGTTGGATATTATTAAATAACATTTTCATGTGTATTTTATGAGTCGAGGTTGGAAGAATAATAGATTTTATATTTTACGTTTTGTTTCTACTGTTTCACAATTTTGAAGAACGTATAATGCACGTTTTATGCACTTAATTATGCTGTTTGTATTAAGAGAAACGATTAATAACATAAAAATCTAACTCACTGGAGATATACGTATATTCAATTATAAAAAATTCTAATTCTGAGTCAACCAAACACATAATAACAAAATTTTAATAAAAAATCAGCCCGATCGGAAGATATTCCATTTTCTTAACCCCAACCGGTCCAAGTGATCACGCCCAAAATTGATCACGAACTGTTAAAAGTGTTTAAATTCAGATTCGGTAAATAGTTCGAAAGTACAGATAAACTAGAAAATTGAATATCGGTTGGCGCGGGGGATAAGTTGAATACTTCTTCTCCCGGAGTTATTACGGAACCGTTTGATGGAGCACTCGGATGGCCGAAGTTTGGATAATGGTGGTTCTACCGTAATAGTCGGACGGGATAACTGATTTCCTAAAATTCAAAGTGGAACGAGCGGAGGAAAGTTTCCGCGGGTGCTCGAACTCCGTAAAAATCCGATCGCTCCGGGTAGCCCAGGGGTTGAATCGAGCTTCCGAACGCGTCCTTCAAGATCCATTAAACGATTCCGCGAAAATGCCTCGGCAAACAGG